CGCTCATTTCATCCATCAAAATGTAGCCATTTCGGAACGCTAAAATTCTTGTGTTCGATCTAGAAACTGACCAGTCAAAGAGTATAAAAATAAATTATAATATAGCATTTTAGGGTTTACAACTATATTATTTTCGCAAATCTGTATCTGATAATTTGCCATATGCCAAGATCCAAGATTATTTTTTAAATTCATAAAAAATCCCTATTATTGCTGAAAAGCTAATAACACCTTTATCAACAATAAACTTAGATTCCATGGAAGATCGGGGTATACATGTCTGCTTAGATTGTGAACACATATCCACTCGTGGAAAATGAGTAACTTCGATCGGATATTCAATTGGCACTAGAGTATCCTTCAAACACTGGAGGATATTTCGAACACATATCCACTCGTGGATTGATAGTGTATCTACTCAGTTTGCTTATTGAGTACGCAAGATCAGGGCGAGTACAGTTCGTTAGGAACATATGACTCCTAATTATCCTTGCGTATTCCTCTTGAGCTACAGGATCACCATGATTTTTGCTCTACTTCACGCTTGGGTCAAGCGGGGTTTTCGTTGTTGGCCCATCATTGTCAACATTTTTGACACATAATGGGATTGTGTCTGGATGATTCCTTCTGGATGTTTGATATCTTGATCCCAAGGATCACATCGGCCAACTCCAGATCTTTCGTCTTGAAATTTTCTTTGAACATTTGTTTCGTCCAAACAATGAATCTTTTGATGATCTGCATATCATTTACATAGAGGGAGACCAACACATAATAAACACATTTATCACACTCATTGTATCTGAATTCATTCGACATCATGGTATTATCGAATTTTAAGTGCCATTGCTTTGGTGCTAGCTTAAGTCCATATAGGGACTTAACAAATTTGCATACTTTACTCTCTTAGCCAGGTACTACAAATCTTTCGGGTTGTTCCATATAGGTTTCTTCTTCTAGGTCATCATTCAAGAATGTTGTCTTGACATCCATCTCATGAATCTCTAGATTGTGCAGGACAACAATTGTGAGAAGGAATCTAATTGAGGTGATCTTAGATACGGGAAAATGTGTCAAAGAAATTCTCTTTTTTTTTTTTTTGATTAAAACCCTTAACAACCAATCAGATTTTAAATTCTCGACCGCGCCATCGGCTTCGTATTTTCTTTTTAGGACCCACTTGCATTTTAGGGGTTTGCAACCCTTTGGGAGATCGGTCAAGATTCAAGTGTGATTTCGCATGCTCGAATCAATTTCGTTATTATCGCTTATGGCCAAAATTCAACATCTGGCCCCAACAAAGCTTCTTTCATTTTCCTTGGCTCATCATCCAACATATATGTGATATAATCCGGACCAAAGTCCTTGCATATTTTCATTATCTGACTACGTCTCGGTTTTTTTCGGAGAAATTAGATTTAGTAGTCATCTCTTGTGTTCTTTTCTGAGAACATTCAGGAATACCATCCTAATTCTCATAAGGGAATACATCTTTAAAGAAAGTCGCATCATTTGATTTCATCGTTGTCCCTTCACTAATGTCAAAGATTTCTGACTTGTAAACAAGAAAATGATACGTGCTACTGTTAATGACGTAGCCTATGAATACACAGTCAACCGTTTTTGGACCGATGGTGACTTTCTTTGGCAAAGGTACTTCCACCTTAGCCAAACACCCCCACACTTTAAGGAATTCTTAGGAAGGCTCACGGCCATTCCATAACTCGTAAGGAGTTACATCCTTACTGTTTAAGGGAATTTCATTCAGGATATAGTTTGTCGTTAGAATGGCTTCCCTCCACATGTTCTGTGGTAAACCAGAACTTATTAGCAAAACATTCATCTTGTCCTTCAGTGTTCGTGTCTTGCGTTCTGTAAAACCATTCGACTGCGGCGAGTAGGGTACTGTAATTTGATAAATTATGCCTTCAGAAGTATAATATTCCGCAAATAGAACAACATATTCTCTACATCTACTGCTTCGAATTGTTTTGATTCGAAGGCCAAGCTGATTCTCAGCTTCATTCTTGAAGTTTTTAAATGCTTCAAGAGCTTCGTCCTTGTTTTTCAGCAAGTAGAGATAACAATATCGAGTACAATCATCAACGAAGGTGATGAAGTATTGCTTACCTCCTCTAGTTTGAACAAACTTTAAATCACACACACTGGAGTGAATCAATTCTAGAGGTGTAGTGTTTCTTTCAACATTCGAGAATTGTTGTTTTGTTGATTTTTCTTCAACACAAACCTCACAATTTCGAACGTTATCGATATCCATTCTCTTTTGTAAGTTCAAGCTTACTGATATCTATAAGGCACTTTTATGTATTTATTGTGAGTACATGACTCATGCAAGTAAGAGTCCATCGGTACGATATATTTTACTTAGGAACACTCCATACTTAGACAATACAAACCAAAACTAAATTCCTGTGGATGTCTAGGACATGCAGCACATCCTTCAACTTCAAGTTTTTTTCCGGCTCATAAGTTTGAGCACTATGTTTTTTGTTTAGGCAACCTTGGCTTTTTCCTTTTGCCCTCATTAGTATTAGTTAGAATTTCTCTTCTTCAAGAGGTTGCCTCACTTTGCTAAAGTTGGTCTATCGTCAAAGAATCAGTCATTCACAACCATTGATAAGGATTCCTCGAAAAGTTATGGATTTGTAATCTCTGATAGTCCTCTTCAATGCGGAGTTTGACAATCAAAGCTTTCAAATAACATGGCCTTTTGCTTAGGTTTTAAGGCAGTTTTTAAAGTTCTTCATGATGGAGGTAACTTTTCAATAACAACTGCCACGTAAAGGCATCGGCAACAACTGTCATAACCAAGAGTTGAAATTCTTGTACTTTTTCCACAACCGAACATCTTTCTATCATGTGGTATGATAGGTTTCTCGATACGGCATATCTCTCAGTATCCGCATCAGTTTTATTATTTCTCTCTTGATATTCTTTACATATCAATATACAGAGTACAAGGAATCAGAGAGACCATTCAGAATAAAAAATAAACATAAAAAATAAAACTTCCTTGTCCCCATCGATCGCATCCAGCATGTCTGGAAGGAAGCACGTCTTATCCGGAATCCATCTTTTGTGCATCACTTTCTTGACGACTTTCAAAGGTCATACTACATCCAGCATAGTGCCGATCGCGCGCACTACCTTCTGAACATGAGTCAAGATCAAGAAAATCGAACCTTAAAAGTTCTGTCGCATTCTGTAAAAGTCCTTCTTGATCTACATACTTCTGATAGGAAATCCATTGTCGGATTTAAAGAGCAATGAGTCTTGAACACGCTCTAAAAATTTTAGCTCGATCCAAGGGTTAACGAAGCGGGAATCATCTGTTTTCCGAGGCTGCGCATTCTTCGACAAAAATTTACTCTTCTCTTCTTTATCTTTTGCTGGAGGTGGCATTAGCGATGAAAACGGCAGTGGCGGTTCAGAAGGCGCTGAAGGTGGCAGCGTTCCTAGTAGCAGCTTCAATCACCAAGGCGAACAAAGCTTTTGCGATGTCAGTCATAGAGGGAAGCTGATTTCTTGTGAATAAGGGGTAGTTGTGGTGTAATAGGATTCGTTATCACCCGGTCAGTGGCTGCAACTGTTGGAAAATATGAAGTGATAATAGGCAACAAGAAGGAATTCGAGTCAAGGAAGATCTCTTTCCGTAGAGCAAAATACGGCTGATAGTATTCCGGTGTACTCGTATCATTTCCAAAGGTAAAACGACTTGTATTCTTTGGAAGTAGCACCACAAGCAAGAGGCTTGGCGAACCGAGAGAGAGTAAAATAGTTTGATGAGAGTATAGGATTATGTGTCACATAATAAACTTTTAGGGATTCCTTTAGATATGGTATATCACCTATATCTAGAATCATATCTATTAGGATATGATATCAAAAGTCAAATCTTATAAGATATGATATTAAATTTGGATATGAAAAACAATTTTAAGATATGACTTATCCGTTTGGTATAGATAGGGTTTTTTCGGATTTTTCTATCCGATCCGTTGGCTCACCGACTTGGTCCGCGTCCAATCTGAATTCGCAACTCGGTTCGGCATATAATTATGTAACATGGATGATCATATTATCTTATCTATTTCTCATTCACCATAATTCGATTTTGAGAATAGACTCAACATTTAATTATTATTTGAATTTCTAAATTTCTAGAAAATGAGATGTTAGATGGTTTAATACTACTGTGTTACCCTATAACATTATAATATGGTGGATCTTTGCATCATCTAACCCAGCTGCTGTTATACTGTGATATGGCCTCAACCTGCTTTGTGTTGTGCAAAAGTCATTGCATCGCATTCGACAACATACGTTACTTTTCATAAATGAAATGAATTCCCAATGTCTCAAACTGCTCATATATGCTAATGGAAATATGTATGGACTGGCTACTGCATTCTAAATGAAGCTTGCAGCCTTTTGCTCCCTGAGCTATGTGAAGGCCCATTTGGTCAGACTTGAAGGAAATTATGCTGAATTTACAGAAACACAAAAATTGTCTCACACCTAGATATTAGATGGCAGCTTCAAATATATATCATTACAAAAACTTGGAACCCTCAATTATCTTTTCAAATAATACCTCATTTTAAAAATCGTCATGGTTTACTATTATATTTCATTATTGTGGGTATAGAAGCAAGTTTCTAAGGGTGTGTTTGTTTGGGGGTTTGGATTTTGAGTTGGGATTTGAATAGTAAAAATTTTGAATTTGAATAGTTGTATGATATGATATAAATAAGTGTTGATTGATGTTTTAAATGTAAAATTAATTTCTAGTATAATATAAAAAATGAAATATAGGTGTTTGATTTGATATTTTTGGGGAGAAAATTTTGGATGAATAGTAAGATTTTGTTAAAATCCTTCAAATGAACAAACCCTAAGTTGATTATTCTATAATATTATGTGTGCCCGCAAAAATGTGTTTGAAATTCATGTAACCATATTATAATATTATAATGAAGTTTCTGTTTCAGACTTAGCAAGTGAAATGGCTGAAGCTGATGTCCTGAAAGCTTTGTCCCAGATAATTGATCCAGATTTTGGTACTGACATTGTCTCATGCGGGTTTGTGAAGGATCTTAATGTCAAACCATCAGGAGAGGTCTCATAAGAAATTGGATCTGCTGAATTACTCTTTGACACTCACAGATAAATGTCTCACTAAAAGTTCATTTTAAATCTCAGGTTTCATTTCGGTTAGAGCTCACAACACCAGCTTGCCCGGTGAAGGATATGGTAAATCAAATAATGCATCACTGCCCTCTGTTTGAACATTGTTTTACCAACTTTATATCACTTTAATACTTAATAACTGAAAAAAAGAAGTAATTTTCTCTATCAATATACATTTGAGTACTGGCTAAGGAACAACTCCTGAGGCTTAATTCGATTCATCGTGCTATTGAAGTGTTTCAACAAGTCAAGCTTGAGCTGCAGGTTTTAGCGCTCAGAACATTTATTAGCTTGATATTCACTATGAGGATATGTTTGTTAAATTGCTGATAAGTTGTTCCATTGGCTTAATGGTGTGATATCCTCAAGTTTAGGTAAAGGTAAACTAGCGTATATTTTTTTCATTTTATTTAATTGAATATAACCACTCTCAACCACAAGCTCTAGTGTAACTGTCAAGCTTGATATTGAGTGCCCATATAAGAAAATTTTGGTTCAGCTCGTGCATCCTGGAGCCGCTAATTCGGTTTTCTCTCTCTCTTCTACTCCAAGTTTCTAACATCCAAATCTATTAAATTAACCGAATGGCATGATCAACTTTTCATCACAAATGAATAGTGCAATCCCCGAATGAGGGAATCTGCAGAATAAGGAAATGTTGTTTTGTAGTTTGAACAGAAAGCTAATGAGGTTGTAGCAGCACTTCCTTGGGTTGAAAAGGTCAATGTGACTATGTCTGCCCAGCCTGCAAGACCCGTTTATTCTGGACAACTTCCACAAGGTCTGCAAACAATATCAAATGTGGTAGCTGTCTCTAGTTGCAAGGTAGCATAATCTATGTAATCTGGCATACTTCTGAAATTAGTTTCTAAATTAATTGATTGCTCATGTTCTTCTCCTTTTGTGCTATTGGCATGCACTGGACATTGCACTGATTACGTATTTCTTGCTAAAGAAATAAAAAATTATGATCTTAACAGCTATAGGCAGTTGCCTTTGCTTCTTTGGTGATGATGCCCACCCGTGAAATAGTTGTCCCTAGATTTTGTATTCATGATGTAATTGCCACATCAGAAAGTTTAAGAGGCATACATTTATTATTAGACAACTCTTAACGACCCCTCATATGCCAGCATCAGCATTCTTTACAGACCCAAGGCTACTCAAAATTCAAGTACCCGTGAGCTAGTTTATTTTGTAGGAATTGGAATCAATGAAATTCATATTATGCCCTCAGAAACATAAAGCATTCATGAGGAGATCATTAGGCAGTGGTGATATTTGATTGTAAAGGAAATAAAGATCCAAGACTTATTGCTCAGTGTGGCTTTTTTCTACATTAAATGATTTCCTCATCTGAAAATATAAACCAGTAGTGGGGTCTATCATTTAAATTTCCTTTAATACAAAACATAATTTCCTTGTATAAGTTATCTACCCTTAGTCCTAAGCAATGACTAGGCAGTTTGAATTCTTCTGCAATGAAGAATCATATGTCATCTTCATTTAGGAGAAAATTCTCCTAGAATCTACAAGTTGGGGTGCTTTTTGGATTTTGTAAACTTCTAGAGTATGCCACAAGCACCTTGTATGTGCTCTTCAAGGCCTAGTGGAAAACTAAGGTGAGTTGGTTGACAGGAGTTAGCTACCTAGTAGTGGATGTAGGAAAGATGTTTGCTGGTAATAGATGCAATTATAATGTTATTCCTAGTTCCCATGCATTTTTTTTTTCTCTCTCATTTGAGGGTTTTGGAGTTAACTGATCCATGTGAGTAGGCTTAAGAATGCTGGATTCTTGAATAATGAGTGAGGAATTCAATTCCCGTTTATATACACTCTGATTATTGCGACATATTGAAGAGAAGGTGGGATTAACAGGCTTGAAATATTTCTTTCACACCAACTATATCACATCCTTAATAATATCCTTAGATTCACAAATCCCACATTTCAAATAATTGGCAAATGCTGCATCTCTACTTACTAGCTTTTTTTTGTTTTAAACATACTTTTGTGTTTTCATTTATGTCCATATTTAGTACGAAGCAGTCCTACATTTTTCTTAGTAAATTGAGCACTTCCAACAACTGCAGGGAGGGGTGGGAAAGTCAACTGTTGCTGTAAACCTTGCCTATACTTTGGCTGGTATGGGTGCAAGAGTTGGTATTTTTGATGCTGATGTGTATGGTCCTAGTTTGCCAACAATGGTGTCACCAGAAAACCGGTTGCTTGAAATGGTAATTCTGCTATTCTTGCATTATATTTACTTTTAACAGCTTGTGTAATTTATATCACAATTGAACAATGTTTTGTAGAACCCAGAAACAAAGACTATTATCCCGACAGAATACATGGGTGTGAAACTCATATCTTTTGGGTTTGCGGGACAAGGCCGTGCAATAATGCGTGGCCCAATGGTTTCTGGAGTCATCAATCAATTATTGACTACTGCTGAATGGTATAAGTATTTCCTGTGCATATCATCAGCCCTGCTTATCATGTGATTGGCTCTGTCTGTTGTGAATTTTCCAGTGTACTTTTAGTGTAAGATCATTAGGCATAATTATTTCTTCCCCTGTTATCCTGATTCTGCAGATAATATTATTTCTCCATCCACTAAATGAAAGCACATTTACCATTTTTAGCCAAAAAATTGACATCATCTTACATGCCAAAAATAAAAAAAATAAAAAACAAAAATAAAATAAAATAAAATTGAGACTATATATCTAATATAAACCTTGTGTTTTTTCTTTTTCCTTCTCTGCGCACAGCATTATTCTAGGAAAATATAAATATTGTTTGGAAATTCTAGCCTTGACTAAGTTAATTGAACCTGAGTGATGCACCTTTGGATTGACATAAACTTGTATGTAGTTGAATTTGCCTGAACCTACTTGGAAAAAAGTTATTACACATAGTAAACATTAAAAAAAAAAAAAAAGGAATCCTTAGCTGTTAAATCAGATAAAAGGAGAAAATTCTCTGCTTGTTGGCATTTGAAAGTAGAGAAAGATAGTGATGACGTGTAGATGTGAATAAATGGAATTTGCTTGTTTATAAGGTTTTCCAAATCGTTTGTTGTGTTTTCTTAAGGAAAAGGTTATGACTTGTTGAAACAATGTGAGATCTACTAATTATTTTGGGAAAAAAACAAGTCACGTGGTTCACAATCGCCAAGAACTATGCTAATTACAGCAATATCACCACTAACATTTTTAGAAACTTGTATTGTTTTTCCCTAACATTTATTTATTTTTCTCTCAACACTTCTTAATCACCTTCACTTTGAAACATAACAGAGCATAAGAATTAGATGGTGCAAACAAGTTTTCGACATGTTTTGTGGAATGGTGTGAAAACTTCACAACTTTTCAACACAAGAAAACAATTCGCACATTATTACTTTATATTATGCATTCATGTGCTTCTTTGCATTTCTTTGTATTAAATATTATTCCAATTCCGTCATTGCATAATATGGAGATTTGTGTTTCTTATATTCATGGTCACAAATTCAGTCATTGTATCTCTTTTATTTAATTATCATCACTATTCACTACTTCTCTGATTAAGGGGTATGTACCATATAGGGGTGAACTTGATTACCTAGTCATAGACATGCCACCTGGAACAGGCGATATTCAACTTACGTTGTGTCAGGTGGCCTTTCAATTAAAACTTTAGCTTATTATTGAAATTAAAGTTTCTAATACCTTTCATGCAACTATCAATTTGCTTTAGAGATACTATCATTTGACTGGGCAAAGTAAACATTCAGATTGTCCCATTGACTGCTGCCGTAATTGTTACCACGCCTCAGAAGCTAGCATTTATAGATGTTGCAAAAGGAGTACGCATGTTTTCCAAACTAAAGGCAAGTTGTGTATATTATAACATCCGTTCTTAATACAATTTAAACAAAGACCTTGTGTAAGTAAATGATTGATATGATCATATAAATTCCTATATTATTGAGTTATTTTATGTTATGTACTTAATATAATATATAATATATTTGCAGGTTCCTTGTGTTGCAGTGGTAGAGAACATGTGCCACTTTGATGCTGATGGAAAACGCTATTATCCATTTGGCAGAGGGTCAGGTTCTCAGGTTTTTCTGATGCTTCAATATCTCATTCTTTGATGCACTAAAAAAAAAAAAAATAGAAAAAAGAAAAATCCCAAGTTGTTTATTAGTCATATAAATCTGCAGGTTATCAAGGAGTTTGGAATCCCCCACCTATTTGAGCTTCCTATCAGACCAACTGTGAGTTTCTTATTATCATAGTTGATGCATGCAGATTTATTTGGTTGCATTTTCAAACACCTTTTTCACTATTCATTTACAGTCACTTATTTTTTTCTCTCTTCAAAAAATCACATCTTACATTTATTTTTTATTAAATATCACATCACACATCTATTTATGTCACATCAAATAATCATTTCAATTCAAACTTTATTCCCAAAACACAACCAAACAAAATTCATCCATTACATTTTAGGGTGTGTTTACTATGAAGGATTGGATAGGATTGTTTTATCCTTGTGTGTAGTCCTTGTTAGCTGTCAGTTCATTTACTGTTGTTTGTCTCTTCTCTGTTGTTGCTAACTTGATGTGACAACTTATATGATAGTTTGTCAGTGCACTTTGTTCTTCCCTGGAGCAATAATTTCCTAAGATGCAAAAATATGAACTAACAATTGTAACTTTGTGACATCAGTCCCTTTTTTCTCATTTTCAATCCTCAAGTGAGTGTATCTTCCATTACATAATAAACTCAGATAATACGAATATGTTGCAAAAAAATAAAAAAAAAACAATTGTAACTTGTGATATGAGTCTCTTTTCGACATTCCATTTTAAATTTTTTATGTTACATACCTTTTTTTTGTGTTTTTACTTTAATTTGAAGTTCCCAGTTTGTCTCCTGTGAAGAGAGGTCAACATGATTTGTTATGCTTTCCTTCTTAATCGTATGTTTGTGGTAACTATGATGAATCAAAGTTACTAACATCCAGATTTTCTGCACATTTTTAAGTCCAATGTCAATTTCTGCATGTTCTTCATGCTACTGTACTTTTTCATCTGCAATTAAATATATCTTCTTCCAAAGCCATAGCATGTGAACAATGAATAATCTGATAGATTGCACCTTTACACATTTGCGCTTGGTCTTTGCTCATTTTCAGCTATTTGGCTTGATTTTACTTGTTTCTAGAGGTCTTTAATCAATAGCTATAAGGATATGTCCTTATTTTTTATTACGTTTGCCATCTAAAGGTCTTCCTTGTCTAGAAGCTGGCTATGTGAAAATTTTATGCTTTTTGAGTTCAATTTCAATTGTTAATTTTCATGTGATCAAAATTTTGATGGTATATTACAATACATGCGAAATAAGAACAAGAAAAATAATTGATAGGGAGAAACGGAAATGAAATAACAAAAGATTGATGACAAACCAAGTCAAGAAAATTTTATGCGTTAACCAAATGTAAAACAACTTTTTTCCATTGCAAAAGACCACCATAATTGGCAAACGACTGACGAATTGTGTAGGAATAGATGAGTTGTAGTTGGAGAAGAATAGAGAGGAAACATGAAAATGTTTTGGTGTGGTTTTGATGTTGGCTAGACACCTAGTTATAGACTTTCTACTCCATCGAAAACAAAATGAGATTGAATGTCGTAAAATTCTAAGAGAAATTTCTAAGATATATCAATAATGAAATTAAGGTCTATTTATAGACCTTATACAAAAAGATAAAGTTAAATAATAACAACAACATCTAATATCATATCTAGATAATAGCAACTTAATCTAGTAGATACGATTATATTGATAACTAACAAATTTAAATAATATTTATCTCAACGCCCCGCCTCAAACTTGAGTTGGTGATATAGAAACCAACTCGAGTTTGGCAAAACAAATAGAAGGTGGTTGCATATGGATGGACTTCATAATTGGACATCAGCATTCAGATCGATTCTCTGTGGTGGTGGGTCGTTACACCCTAAGAAATTAAGATATTGGCTAAATTAAGGTTTCTAGTGCCATTAATCCTCTGTCGCGGGCACACACCGGCGATTTTCTGTCGTAACGACGGGAACTTTAATAAATTAAAGTTTTGAACGAATTAGGATTTTTAATTAGGATTTTTAATAGCAACAATCCTCTGTCGCGGCGGCAGCTACAATGATCTGTTGTTGCGACGGCATCAAAGTAAAGTTTTTGATGATGACGATCCTTTATTGCGGCGACACCGGCGATTCTTTGTTACTGTGGCAACGCTAAATCCTAAAAGATTAAATCTTAATAGGCAGAAACTCCTGATGGTTAATAAATTACCAACCAAAAGCATTAATCAAACTAAAAAATTGATAGATAGACTGAAAATATTTTAGTATGTTGTCGCGGGAAAATTCTAACAATTGGATACCGAATGCACTTGCACATGCTGCTAAAGTCGACAACAATGAGTTTATTGACCAGTGTTGACCAACAATGTTGACCAAACTTTTACCGATGTTGATCACTTATATGCATTGTTTCTGATGATGATATTTGGTGACAAGTATTTCCCAAATTAGGAATACGATGATAGTGGTAGTGGATCTCACATTTGAAACAAAATCCTCCGGGTACATTACGGGATGTATCCGAAGAAAATATGAATTAGTCGATTGTATCTATTCCAGAAGAAAAATAGATTCTGATATCATTATACAAAAGGATAAAGTTAAGGTATATTTATAGACCTTATACAAAAGGATAAAGTTGAATAATACCAACCAAATTTAATATCATATCTAGATAATAACAATCTAATATAGTAGATATAATTATATGATAACTAATAAATCTAAATAATATCTATCAATAATATATTTCAACAAATGTCGTTGATGGCCATTGACGACACCCATTGAATGCCAAAATTTTAGCCTTGCCTTGTATACATTTTGTCTAATCGGTTATACACATTCGTCTTAGCCCATTATCACAGCCAATCTAAAATCTCACGGCTAAGATTCTAGTCCAATGACATAGACCAGGCCAGCTGGATTAAAAGCCAAAAACCAAATACAAATGGACATCCATGTAGTCAAACCCACTCTCAAACACCTTGGATTCGACACATGCATGTCCATTTGTATACAAATGGACAAGGCAATTGAATTTCATGAAAATGCCATAATTATCTGTACAAAACATAGATTAATTCTGATTTGCAAAATTAAATATTTTAGTAAGTATTCGCCACTCGAATTTTCTCAAAACAAAGATTTCTACAATTTTTTAAAATGCATATGGTACCAATGTAGGATTTTCTCTCTTCCCCATAGTTTTTATGCATATTGCTTGCTACTTGGTCATATTTGCTTTTTATTATGGGATGTTTTAATTGCTTTGATATATTCTATAATGAAGTTGATCAACTTAGCTGGTAAAATTACAGTATTCAAATATGAGATATCATTTCACTCATCTAATGATGGTATAATGATCAAATAATTACTCTATCCGCATTAATGCCTAATTTGACATTTTCTCATGTAAGAGAAATGCATGGTCATTGCTGTTATTAGTATTTTATGTTTGAAATAATAATCTTTGTATAGTCAGTCATGCTTATTTGCCTGATCACACTTGAGTATAATTCAATGTCGATCAAATCTTCTGACTGATAAAAACAATAAGCAAATTTGTTGGTTGTTATCTAAGACTTGAATTGAGTTGTGGAGTAGATCTAACTGGAGAACATGTTACCAATTCATAGAAGAGCAATTTGTCTCTATTACCATTTTGCAATTTGCATGCCTAAATTTTAAAAATGGAGGTATGCGCATGCATAACATTGAGGTGATTATTTATCCCTGGCAGCTCTCAGCTTCTGGCGATAGCGGAATACCAGAAGTCGTGGCTGATCCCCAAGGTGCAGTTTCAAGAGAATTTCAGAACTTGGGTGTCTGTGTGGTGCAACAGTGTGCAAAAGTTCGCCAACTAGGTACGTCAATATTCTCATTTGACAGTATGGTAGTCAATTTCTCTTCTGGAAAATGCCTGATACTCCAGGGTGATTCTTCAATGCTGGTTAAAAGCTTCTTATGTTTGTATTGTACAGTGTCAACGGCAGTCACTTATGATAAATCTATGAAGGCTATCAGAGTCAAAGTACCTGCATCTGATGAAGAGTTCTTTTTGCACCCAGCAACTGTGAGGCGAAACGATAGATCTGCAGAAAGTGTGGTAGGTGAAATATCATTCCGTTTGAACCTGAGGTGGTGAAGTTACTGGTATATCTGTGAATTTGAACTGATATACATGGGCTGGACACACAGAGCTGAGTATGGCTATGTCTTCGTAGGATGAGTGGACTGGGGAGCAAAAACTTCAGTATACAGACATTCCAGAGGACATTGAACCTGAAGAAATTCAGCCCATGGGAAACTATGCTGTCTCAATAACATGGCCAGATGGATTTAACCAGGTATGTTAACACTTCATTTGTTTTTATACAAATGAGTGCAATACATGTGCATCGTCAAGTTGGCATAACATAAGTGGTTGTTAATGGGAATATTTTAAATGATAGAATTGCTTGGCGACATATGGCTTTTTCCTTGAGTTGGGAGTAAAATAGTTTTCAAGTTAAAATGACTTTCAATAACCAATAGGATTCGACACCAATTAGTAAGAACAAAATATCATCTCATAATTTCTCTTTACTTGTACAGTTCACAGTTAATTTTGAGATCTCTGTAACCGATTTTTCATGTCGGTATCCCATCCCATAAAATATAAATTATCTGAATGATTTAATTTTACAGCCCAAGGATTCACAGTTATCATATGGGTTTAGTTTATTGCTGTTTTTTTTCCTGTATCATAAAGAAGGAACTGCCATTCATAATATATATTGTTGATTAACAATTGTTGGCACTTGCAATTTTTCGAAGAATGGGAATGTCAAAATGTGTTGATGAACACAGTAGGCAAGAGAGTTGCCTTTAAACTGGATTTTATTGACCTTAGATATGGAGGTAATATCTTATGGTCGTGATTCTAGGCATGAATTAGTCTATATTCGCAACGCATTTAGACATACATATTAAAAGCTTGTAAAGACAAACTTAATTTTAATGAAATAAAACAATGTTGTATGTACTATTTAGGTTCAAATGTCTCTGGAAACATACACACTGTATTATTGAATGGATATTAGTAAAGATACTCGACAAATGTGAAATAATACAAGACTTTCTTTATCATTTTGACATTCATTGCTATTAATATGTAAATTGAAGTGAATCTGTGTGATTTAATTCATCTTTATCAGGTTTTAGATTGCACTGAATTTATATAGTCATCTCTATGTGGATGCTTTCCTTTGGCTTTTCTTTTCCAGATTGCTCCATACGATCAGCTGCAGATGATGGAACGATTAGTTGATGTACCTCAGCTTCTATAACCATGAAACCAAGCTGCAAAGATGCTATCAAATTCAATTCCAGTTGGTTTGTCTGAAACACATCTATGCTTGTCAATTCAGAGATAATATTTCATAATTCGTAAATCCCCATGTCTGCGCTGCTGTCTCCATGGGCTTTATTTAAGATGTATATAGATAAAAGCTACAAATAGAATGGCATCGGCTCATATCTGGTAATATATGTTGGATTCAATAGAAAGAAATGAGAGTTGACGCATATTTAGCAACATTCAGGATTTTTGTTTTATATTTACCTACATAAGCAAATATTTAAGTGCAACTTAAATTCTAGTGAACTTGATGGTTACGCATGCATAGGGTTTGGAGAATTAACCTTTTTGTAATGTTAATGGTATGCCTAGTTGTGGTTTGGATTGTTTTGAGTGATTTTAGGTGAATTTAAATTCCGCACTTAGATAAAGTTACTAGCTTTCTAGTGTAACACGCATTAAATATGTCGTTAACTCGCAAGTTTCATTCGTAGCTTAGTTACGATGTTTAAATTCCAGCGGCCAGTGAATGGGTGAGCCTCACCAATGTAGTTCCGAAAAAAGAAGGGTTTGTAGAAGAAACAAATGAGAAAGGTGAAGTGTTCATGAAAAGGCCAGTTACTAGATGACGTGTATGTATAGACTATAGGAAGCTGAATGCGGTTACGCACAAAGATCATTTCCCACTATCCTTTTTTGATCAGTGTTTATAAAAATTAAGTGGTCACGAGTTGTACTGCTACTTAAACGGCTATTCTGGATATCATCAAATCCCGATCAATCATGCGGATATCGAAGAATGCCATTTGGGTTATGTATCACATCTCTAATGATTTATTGGATTCATGTGCAGAAGTATTCATGGATGACTTTTCTGTAAAATGACAAAACATTCTCTGCATGGCTCGCGAATCTGGAACAAATGTTGATTCGCTGTGTTAAATGTAACTTAGTCTTGAATTTGGAAAAATGTCATTTTATGGTCATAGAGGGAATTGTTTTGGGCCATAAAGTCTCTATCGCAAGAATAGAAGTAGACAAGTTAAAGTAATTGTAATTTCAAAGATGCCGGCCCCAAAATGTGAAAAAGCTACGTGAAGTTTCCTAGGACATGTTGGATTTTATCGAAGATTTATCATTTTCAGCAAGATTTCGTAGCCTGTCCTGCTTTATTATGTAAGGATGCTCCTTTAATATGGATGGATAAGTGCAATGAGACATTTTATTTCAATGTTTCAAGAAGAGATTAATTTCCTCACTTGTCCAAGCGCCTGATTGGAGTAAGCCTTTTGAACTTATATGTGATATGAGTGATAATACAAGAGCTGTGCTAGGCCAAAAACTGGAATAGAAGCATCTTGTCATTCATAGCAAGACTTTAGATGGTGCTCACCGAAATTACACTACTACAGAAAAGGAACTCTTGGCAATTGTCTTCGCGTTTGAAAAGTTCAAACTTTATTTGGTTGGATCAAAGGAAATTGTGTATACTGATCACGCGGTTGTCAGATATCCGATGGGTAATAAAGATTCTATACGGTTGATCCAATGAGTTTTGCTATTGCAAGAATTTGATATTGAGATCGAAGACAAAAAGGGAAATGATAACAAAGTAGCCGATCATCTTAGTAGGCTACCTTCAGAGGCATCTCCGTTAAGTATAGATGAATGCTTTCCCGATGAAAAATTGTACTTCTTGCAAGGTACCACACCATGGTTCGTAAACTATGTTAATTTCATGCTAGTGGTATTATGTCTTCACATCTGGATTACAAAGGAAGGAAACATTTTTTGAGCCTTATCAACCATTATTTTTGGGAGGAGCCATACTTATTTCACTTTGGCGAAGATGGAATCATTAGTTGTTGTGTATGTGATTATGAGATACCGCGTATTCTTCATGAATGCCATGGCTCATTTGTAGGTGGTTATTTCACGATGCAACATACCATTGCCAAGGTACTTCAATCAGGATTCTACTGGCCAACGATACACCTTGATGCTTAGACATTTGTCAAGCAATGTGATGTGTGCCAAAGATTGGGTACTATTACGGAACACAACAAAATGCCACAAAAAGAAATTCTAGAAGTTTGATCTGTTCCATGTGTGGGGTATTGATTTTATTGGACCATTTCCAATGTCTCATAGGAACACTTACATTCTGGTCGCGGTGGACTGCATCAGCAAATGGGTTGAGGCAGTTGCTCTTTCCACAAACGACGTGGTCCAGGTAACCAAGTTCATTCAAAAATACATTTTCTCAAGTTTTGGTGTTCCCAGGACTTTTATTAGCGACGAAGGCATACACTTTGTCAACAAGTGATTTGTTACACTTATCCCGAAGTACAATGTTCGCCACAACGTCGTGACCCCTTACCATCAGCAATCCAGTGGCCAAGTTAAAGTCAATAACTGCGAGCTAAAGTAAATTTTGTAGACAACTGTCAGTAAGAATAGAAAAGATTGGTCTCTGAAACTGGATGATGCGTTATGGGCATATCACACAACGTTCAAAACTCCAATTTGGATGTCGCCATATAGATTAGTCTATGGAAAATCTTGCCACTTACCTCTGGAAATAGAGCATTGTGCATACTGGGCGATTCAGTTCTTGAATTTTGACATCTTGCCCGCGCAAGAAAAAAAAATTCCCGATGGATTTTGATGACTTTCGTTCTCGCGTATAAAAACACAAAGATTTATAAAGAACACGCTCAATTATATCATGATAAGATGATTCACCACAAGCACGTTGAAGAAGAGGAAAAACTGTTATACAATTCACGTATACAACTATTCCCCGGGAAACTCAAATCGCGATGGACTGGGCCTTATATTGTGAAGAAAGTCCTGACTAATGGTGCAGTGCGAATCTACAATCCACATTTTGTAGATTATCATGATGGTTTTCTTGTAAACATGATGCTTTTAAAGAAATTTCTGGAAGGATTTAAGATACTCCTAATTATCAAGGGTTGACACCAATACCTACGAATTCATCAAATTAAGTTGTGCAAGGACGCACAACCGTTCAGTATGAGGAGTGAATGATAGCACTGATTGAGGCATATCTTTGAATTTTTTTAAGTTTTAAATTCATTCGTGTGTTTTCTTTAGTTTTGTTATATGCATAGAATAGTTTTATCGCATTCTAGAGTAGATTTACAATTTTAAAGGATAGAATCTGGGAGCTTAAATCTGCACAAATCACGAGGCTACTCTTGCAACGCAAGCATAGTAGACATAAATTTCAAGAAATTATATTTTAACCCATCAACTCCCTGAATTTTTGAAAATGCCACCCAACACCTTAAAACCCTAAAAACCCTTCATTTCCCTCAACTTCTGATTCAAACCTTTTCATCTTTTCTCTATACAAAACCTTTTCCGTACAAAATTCTTTAAAACTCCAAATCTCTTAAAATAAAGTGATTACTTCCTGCCTAATCCAAAACTGCAACTTGTTTCTGCAAACCAAACTACAATCACTCTATTTTTCGCACTACGAACAAGCGAGCGTTGGTGTCCTAAGAAATTTAGAACCAAAACCCTGGACCTAACCCCTTTTTCGTGACCATATGATTTTAGCGTCACCCCGATTCAAAACATTAAGAATTTTTGCTGCAATTATTTTGGAGGAGTGCACACACCAAAGTTCACTATAATAGAACAAATGATTCAAAATCAACCATGATTCTCACGATTTACCAGCTGTGGGGTTTACGAACATGTGAGAGGACGTGCAGGATTTAAGACGAACGGGTTACGATTTACGAAAAGAAGAAAAATAAGTTTAAGAAGGAATTCGTGGAACTTGACAAAAATTTCGAGAAAAAGGTCACGAAATTAGCAGACCCAACAAGATGTAAGTGGTATAACCACGCATCTAGCGTGGTATTGTTGAAGCCTCTGCCACCAATTGCGTTTTACAGATGAAAGAATTTCCTGCATGCGAATCAGAATTGGACGGCACTAGAAGGACTATATTTTGATCCTTATAGCGAAGAGCCAAGCAACTTCCTAGAAAATTACCATCCTTAGGTGGAGATCGAAGAAAATTAGTTGTTGCTCGCGCAGTGGTGGATCTCACCTGATATTTTGGTTAAGTGCAGAGAAGAGCAATTCGACTGCGTGCGGTATGAGTTTGAGCTACGAGGCGAGCACGACTTGGAGTTAGAGGAGCAGAGAGGAAGCATTTACAGGGAAATTGAAATGGCAATAATAAAGGGCAAACTAGCAAGGGCGGATGTGGAGAAGGCCACGAAAGTGGCAATAGAGGTTAATGCAATTAATCCAGCGTGTTTCGTAAATGTGGCCACCTTTGCGCAACATGAGTTCCTTAGGTCCAAGAGTCACATAATAGATAGGGGGTTCGATTTTAAGTTTTTCAGGGATGAGCTCATCAGACAGGCGTCAAAGAAAGGGTTGTTCCAATTACTGGTGAATCCGTCGGAGTATGCCGACATGGTGATTGTTAGAGAATTTTATGCTAACCTCAACGCAGAAAAATGTATTAACAACGTGTACATACGAGGAAAATGAATAGATGTACAAGAAGTCTCTAGAGTCCTGCGAATCCTTGGACTTTGCGACCGATGACAAACTAATGTGATTATTTTCCCTCCTTGCAAGGACCCCAACAATCGGAGCCAACAAGAAGCTATCATGGAAGATTATTAAGGAGGAATACAAGCCATTGATCAAATGGGCTGCCATCAGGATCTATTGCACATCGCACTTCATGGACCTTGGGGTGAAGAACTTATTCGCGGTGGCAAAAATCTTGTGCAATCAACCGGTCAATATAAGCGAACTGATTTGCCACGATATCTTCGCGTGCTTGGATTCATTTATGGCTGCCTTATGGCATGGCCACCTCATCATGGAACTTTTCCGCGCCACAGGAGTTGATATTCCAGTTGAAAAAACACTGGTTTATCTGCTAGCGCCATCGCCATTGGAACTCCACCGCCGATGGTTATCATCAATGAATTTCCCGTCCATGTTGAAAAGAAAAGGCCAACTTCAGGACAAGTTGAACAACCAAGGAAAAATAAGGCAAAGAAAGTTGACTCGCCACTAGCTCTTCCTCTCCTTAGAGAAAGCTGAGTAGCGAGGAGAGGGGAGACAGTTCAAAAACCGAATATGAGGATACAATAGTGTTTTAACAAACATCATCTTCCCAGCCTAAGGAGAAAGGGAAAGAGAAACTGATAGAAGCCGCCACCCGCATTGA